GCGGGCGATGCGGTGCATGGCAAAGCCCAGGTAGAGGACCGACGGTGTGGCCACCATGATGATCTGGAAGATCCAGAAGCGGACGTGGGAGAGTGGAGCAAAGGCGTCGTAGCAGACGTTCTCACAGCCAGGCTGCTGCGTGTTGCAGACAAACTTGCTCTGCTCGTCGTAGTAGATGGACTCGCCCCCCACAGCCGTCAGCACAATGCGGAAGACGATGAGGACGGTCAGCCAGATCTTGCCTACGAAGGTTGAATGGTTGTTGATCTCCTCCAGGAGCCGGGTCAGGAAACTCCAGCTCATCCTGGCCAGGCAGTTGGCTCAAACCCTGCAGGGATGAGGCAGGCAAACAGGCACTGAGCAAACCCCCATGCACCTAATCAGGTGCCCCCAAACCAGCAGCCTCCACACCCGCCCTGCCCCTCTTCCTCTTCCAGCACTGACATCCCTTCCCTTACCCACCACGTCCACAAACACAGCCCTGCACGGGCACCTATCTCTCCAGCACCACATCCCCTGCCCAGCGCCTCCTCGCCGTGCTCCCAATCCACATCCTGCTCCTGCCCTGCCACCAGCCAGGTGGGTGGAGAAGACCTGAGGAGCTGGGGAAAGGCTGGGATGTCCCTGTCCCCTGCGGGACACATATGGGGAAGAGTCAGCATAGCCACAGTCAGGGTAAACACGACAGCATAGGGCAGCACCAGCTGGGGAGGCGAGAGGACAAGCAAAGGGACAGATGCAGCCTCCTCTGCCCCCAGTGCCACAGCACCCCTCTGCCACCCGGTTCTGGGCAGGTCCCCATCCGGTGCCGCACCCTGCGCCAGCACCCCTGGGCAGCATGGCATGGTGCTGGCAGCCCCTCTGGCTCACTGCGGCCGCCAGCCTCAAGCCCTGGCCGAGGGGGTCCTCCTGAGCAGCATCCCCCACCACACACGCACACGCCAGGTCCTCTGCACCCCGCAGAGTTCTCCCTTAAGGGCTGGCAAAGAAGCAACATCACTCTGCCCCACCAAACCTCTGTGCTGTACCCTCCCTCCTCTGTGACCCATAGCCCCCAGTCCTTACGAGCTCTGAAAGTCCACAGCGGCTGGTGCTCCAAGCACCCTGCAGCCTGATGGCAAGGGCTGGCAGGGGGAGCAGAGCAGGAGAGCGGTGGTGAGGGCACCGGGGCAGCCAAGGAATTGCACAAAGTCCCGGCAAAGCAGCTGACGCTGGAAGTCGGGGAGGAAATTACAAGGACTGCGCCGCAGCTCCCGGTCAACAGATAAGAGGCAAGAGGAGACACCCCATTGCCACCCTCGGTTTCAGCAGCTTGCGTGTGGGCTGATGCAAGGGCAGCAGGTGGCAGGGCTGCCTGGGGAAGGCAGAGGGGATGTCTCTCCACAGAGACCCTAGCCTCTCCCACACCTCACCTGACTTCCAGCCAGCCCCACCCCATCACCTCTGGCCAGGGCACGTCCCTGTGGGCGACAGCTCATGCTGCACTCACACCACTACTATTCAGAATAAGAGGATCTTTTTGGCTTAACTCAGCCTGCCTTCCAAGCAACCTCACCTAAACAGAAAAGCCCCTCCAGCACAAGCACCCACGCGGGGGACACGCTCTCATGGATAGCCTGGTGCTCAGCAGAGCTTGTTGGGTGGTGGCAGAGGCTGGCACCAGGGACCCAAACCCAGCCCAGCAGGGCCACCATCCTTCTGTGGTGAAGCACCTTGCCTTTTTAGCCCATGCCTGGCATCAGCAGACCGCCTTCGCTGCAGGGTGTGGGGCTGGGG